TTCTTCCCCAGGCAGTTTACAAAATTCAGTATTTCCATAAGGACCCTCACCAACTTTTACAGATACACCATGGAAAGCATTCTGTCCAGGTACATAATGGCCTGGTATGGCAACTGCTCTACCCAGGGCTGGAAGAAATTACAGAAGGCTGTGTGCAAAGCCCAGAACATCACGGAAGCTAGCGTTCCATCAATGGACTCCATTTGTAGTTTTCATTGCTGCAGAAAAGCTGCTGACCTCATCAAAGACCCCTCCCATTCCCTTAATGCTCTCCTACAAACTCTTCCCTCAGGCAGAAGATACAGAAGCTTGAACACATGCACTGACAGGTTCAGGAACAGCTTTTTCCCTGCTGTTATTAGACTGATGAACAGACTCTCTAACTTCAAATAATGTTGATCTTGTTTCGCACACCTCCTCTGCAGTTGTACTTGTATGCCTCACTCTGTCTGAGCACCCTATGATCTGTATGTCCTTGTTTGCTGTGATCTGCCTGTACTGCTCACAAAACAAAGCTTTTCACTGTGCTTAGGTATGTGTGACCACAATAAATCAAACCAGATCAATAGAGGGTGCCGTCGTGATTCTGAATGATAAGAGCTCAAATAAAAACTCCAGAAAACTGAGCAGGCATTGTAAATGATATCTTGGTTGAGGCACTGTTGAGGTCAATGAAACAGGCTTCAAGTGATGTCATGAAAATATGTCAATATTAATGTTAGTTTGATACAAAAGTAACCCCTGAGATTCAGAAATTGAACTCATATAAGCGAGGATACTATTGACCAGGGAACACTTGAAGGTGAAGTGGAGCAAAAATTAAATATGAAGTTCATTACATTTTTGATTTCATTGTTAAACAAGGGACTAACAGACATACAGTCATAAGAGTATTGCCTGTCGAGATGCGTCAGGCAAGCCAGACAACTCAGAGTGAGTTAAGCAAAGAGCAAGATTGTGAAAATAGTCTATTGTGCACCACACGTGTGATGTCATTACTTAAGTGAGGGTGTATAAAAAACCATTTGTTTTCCCCAGTAACGAGAGTCTTCAGTCTTGGCATTAGAAACTATTTTTCCTCCTTAGTGAAATGCATGTTGAGATGAAATTTGGCAGAATTGTTCAACAAATGGTTGGTGGCGGATGAAGTTGGTCATAGGAAAGAAGTGTTCCGATTGACAGAGATTTTGAATATCTAAGGACACGGAATTAAACGAACGGCAACAGAAACAATGGGGATACCTCTAGTCCTAAGCTTAGTTTGTGATCTGTAATAAATTGCCTCAAAATTTGTTGAAGCCTGATTTAAAGCGAAATGAAATAAACAACAATTGAAGGAAAGATGCAGGACAAATTGAGATGAACTGGGCTGCCCTTGTGGACAGCTGGCACGTATCGGGCAACCCAACGGGCAAATGTTGTAATCCAATTACTCTGATTCATTTTGGGAACTGATGATTTTTCCAACATGATTTCACGAATCAAGAGGACAGATGCATTTAAGACTACAGTTATACACGACTGGCATATTTCGTTCTCGTTACAAACAGAATTAATACATGGCCCCATAGACTGAGGACAATCACAGAACATGGAGATGCAGAGATGGAATTGATTTTGTTTGTAGGCACTTCACCAGTATAGTGTAACTGAGTTTCTGTTTATAATTTGTGATTTATGCATACATGCTTGCCCTGTCTAGTTGTCGGCTGAATTCCAGTTCAGTGTTAAACATATTACACCATCAGGGAATGATTACAACTGTCCTAATCTGTTTGTGCAATGATTACGAAAGACAGACGAATTATTTTGCAACATTCGGATCCCTGTGGTTCTGACACTTAGAAAATTCATGCTTAGAATATCTTTCCTCATAATTTAATTCAAAAAGTTTGTTCGCCACAGAAGGTACAAACCACTTCACAGGGAGAATGTAACCTAGCAATTGAATGGGTCAGGAATATATACTATGTAATTCTTGCGATAGTTGGTGTTCCTGGTGTGTGTTACAACAAACGAAGCTTTGCAAATCGGCATATAAAATGGTTTCCGCTATTGTCCTATGAATATTAAAGATGCGTGTGATAGAATGTTCACCGTCATATAGAGAAACATTCCATAACGTAGTGAAGTTCCAGCCTGATTCCTGAATGATCTCTGTTTATTTTTTTCTACTTTCTGAACTGTTTCTTGTTCACAAGCACCTGCATTTTCATTGCGTTCAGGAACCATTTTGTTCTTTGGAATCAGAACTCAAAGCAGCAAACACTTTGAGAGAAAGTTTTACTTGCATTATCGGTAAATGTACAATCTTGTAAATAACTGGCACCAGTGGCCATGTATTACTTTAACTATCTCCCGCTCTGGTTTGGCACCGATATTGGGTGTCTGTATATTTTGTAACATCTGACAACAGAGATTATGAATTTTCTGGAGCGCATGTCATTGTACATTTGTATTCAGTGTGTGATAACATTTGAAACCTACTGCAAGAATTGAAATTCGCAACAGTTCTTTCAGATACTGATTAATCCACTTTCTCAAGCACAGTTCTGAGAATCGATACATTGGAGTGCTTTGTTTTAATAAACACTATACCTCATAATTACGACAAATACCCTGAAGACGATCATTTTTTACTTCGTGTTACATATTTTACAAACCAGAAAATGGCCATTTGATAAATCCAAATAATTACTGTCTTCCTGCTCCACACAAGCCATTCTCCATTTCCATTCCACAATGATTGTTAGCATGTCCTTCCATTTCTGGCTCGCCAAACTTAATACAACTCTTCCTCTTCAGTGTTTTTCATTTGCACTACTCCAGATGGAACCTAGATTCACATTCTCATCGTTCTGTAACTCAAACTTGATTTTTTTTTTCGGCTGGATTTATTGTTGACTCAATCATTTTGACGAATTTCAGTATAGGACTAGATCATACATGGAAATAACTTCTCCATCTTTGTTGTCATTATTCCTTCATGTCTTTCAACACTGTGTGTTGCCCTCTGCACATCTCACCTCGGTTCAGTGCCCAGAGGGGATCACGCATTTTAACTTGGTAAATTTTATTCAGGTCAGTTTTGCAGCGTCGTAATAAGACCATAAATTTTGGGAGCAGAAAGAGACCATTCAGCCCACCAAGTCTACTCCACCATTCAACGAGCTCGTGACTGATCCGATAATCCTGAACTGCACTTTCTAGATTTTCCCCATAACCCTTACCTTTACTGATTGAAAATCTGTCAATCTCATTTTTGGATATATTTAATGACCCAGGATCAACAACTCTCAGTTGTAGAGAATTCCACTGATTCATCTCTGTCTTCAATATACCACTCCCATTCTGATATCAAGCACTCTGGTCTTGGACTGTCCCAAACGGGGACTAACCTTCCTGCATCCAACCCGAAAAAAAAACCCTGCATGTTTCAGTAAGGAGCAAGTACTTTTAGTTGTACTGTGTCTGAGCAGTCGAAGGCAATGCATTTCAGTGCTTCCTTCTATTTGTTTTTATCTCTGATGTGAAACTCACACTGATTCTGACAGAGCTACTCCCTATGCCGTTTTTCATGCCAGAAATTCATGTTCATTTAAGCATTTGTACAGGAACAACAAATCCTCATTCCCTGAGTGGGAATCAAACCCAGAAACAGCAGTGAGAGTGCTGAATCCGACTCAAGGAAGGTGCACGCAATGCTTGCAATTTTTCTTCTTGACACTGCTTTTGGTTGTTTTTCTGTTGCACAATGACAGTCACTGAGGTTTTAGCAACATGGAGAGAGGCACTTCGGTCCATTACATTATCACAGGTCATCAAACATCTCGTTTCTAAACCCAGTTTCTAGCACTTGGCCCATAGCCTAAAAAGTTATTCAATGTCTTAAGGGCTTCAGTAGAACAAAAACACTCCTTTCAACAAACAACAGGAACCAGTGCTATTTGCTGCAACATGGAATCTATATTTTCCTCTTTGAAGACAGGTATGAAAGCCAAACTCTTTTTCAGAGACAATACAGTGTGGAGCTGGAGGAACACAGCAGGCTGGGCAGCATCAGAAGAGCAGCAAACTTGACAGAAGGGTCCCAACTCGAAACATCAACTTTCCTGATCCTCTGATGCTGCCTGACCTGCTATGTTCCTCCAGCTCCTTAGTGTGATGTCTCTGACTCCAGCATCTGCAGTTCTTGCAGTCTCCAACTGATTTAAAACCCCACTGTGAAGCCTCTTTTTCAGATCCATATGCCAGATTTCCTCGTGATGTCAACAGTGTAGATTTAAATCCTACATCGTCTGAGGTCACAGCTAATGACTCTCCTTTTCAACCTCTCTGCTCGCATGAGATGTGGCGTCCCTCAGGTTAAACCACCACCAGTCGTGTCTCTAATAAAAAAGCAGCCCTATGGTCCAGAAGAAGTATAGCAACTTCATCATTTCGTCTGTGGCTCAGTGTCCGACTTTGTAATATTATATTCCTGGGACTCACAAAGGTCATTTTCTACTCTATTAAATATATTATATTTGCATTTGTCCTGCTAGGAAATAAATAGAAAGATTGCATGCACACATTACAACAAATAAATTAAAAATCTACAACAGCGGCCATGTAAACCAGTATTCCGAGCCATGTTGAACGTGCCTTAAGCGAAGAATCGCTTATCACTGCGCAGGCTCGGTACCTTTCTGTGTGTTCACTGTCTCGAGCATGCACAGTGGGAGCGATCCTGGGGAAAGCAGCTCTTTTCCTTGGCTCCACAATGGGTAAAAATGTGGCAGAACTGAGGAAGCGATGGATTAGGTGGTTAGATGGAGAGTCTTCGTAAACACTTTGTGGATGTAGTAGACCTGGTATATCCATAGAATCAGTGTGGAAACAGGCCCTTCGGCCCAACAAGTCCCACATTGACCCTCAGAGCATCCCACTCAGACCCATCCCCCTGTAACTGGGGATGTAAAATCTACACATCCCTAAACATTATGGGCAATTCTCCTTACCTGCACATCTTTGGACTGTGGAGGAAACCCATGCAGACGCAGGGAGAACGTGCAAACTCCGCACAGACAGTCGCCGGATGGTGGAGCCGAACCCGGGTCTCTGTCGCTGTGAGGCAGCAGTGCTAACCACTGAGCCACCATGCCGTATAAACAAGCTGTCTGTCCCTGTTTCGCAAAATGGGACATATCGAGGCTTCCTTTCAGCAAAACGTTTCCAGTTATGGCCGTTATCTTTGCAGCAGTCAAAGGGCAGCAGGGCGCATGTGCGGTCGTTCTGGGCCATGGGAGAGAATGCTGTGAATGTCTCTCCTGGACTGACAGGAATAGAGTTTATAAACTCCTTTTACAGGGAGTGAGGAGGAGAGGATTTACACACGGCACGGCAAATTCCAAACTACAGAAATATTTGTCTCTTTTGAATTTCAGTTCCGGCCTGTCTGAGATGGCTTTTGTAAAATTATTTTAAGGTATGTTGGAAGAGGATTTGCAGACCCAAAACTCAAACCAAATAATACATCAAGATCTAAGCATACCACTTTATTCTTTGTTCATTCAGCATTGGATATTATTGGCCTTTGAATGTAAATATTGAGTAAAATAAAAGAAACATAAAATTCCTTTCTTACATCTCCCAGTAACTCTTGTCCGATATCTTAAATCTGTGTCCCTAATACTTCTACTATCAGCTAATGGGAACAGCTGCTCTTTATCTACGCTACCTAAACCTATCATAAACCTAGGCACCTTCTTCAAATCTCACCTCAATCTCCTTTGCTCTGTGCAGAACAACTTCAGTTTCTCCAACCTGAACTTACAACTATTACCTCAGTTTTTGAACCATTCTGATTAATCTCTACTCAAATTTCTCCACAGACCCTCACATCCTTTGTGGATAGCACCTGTTTGTGCAGACCCAAACATTCTGTGTTCAAATTGGTAATGTTATCACACACAGGCCATTGCTCAGTGACATCAGCCTGATTCCCGGATATTCCCTGAACTGTGAAAGTTTGCTCTGACCCCAGTCCTTTTGATATCCTTCGAGCTGCAGAGTCCGGCATTTAATTTTAAAATTGAAAACAATGAAATTATTTCAGTATTTGTAACCAGTAGTCAGTTAGCTGACTATGGGGCTGGTGCAACCCATTTTGTCACTTCCCTAACACCTTGTTATGTGACTGATGTCAAAAGTTGCTTTATAACACTCCTGAATCAGTGTCCATCCATTGCTTTGGTTCATCTGTACTCTTGCTGATCAACTCTCTGTCGTTGTCTAATGTTCTCTGACTCCAATAATGGGTGTAACTGTCTTGGATATTTTATTGTTACTTCCATTGACTCTCTAAATGAGGATTTTACAGCTGAACATCACCTGACCATTTGCTGCTGGGAATTATCTTCCCTTAGTAGCTTCCACAATGTTATTACGTAAGGAGTTATTCACCAAGCGATGATGAAGGGACTGTGATCTGTGTCCAAATCATTGACAATTAATTTACATCAATACAGTGCTTTTCACATAATGGAAACTTCCAAGCTGTTCCTTGGGAGTGTGATAAAGCTCCTTTTGAGCCCAGTCACATTCTGAGATAGTGGGGAGGTGACAAAATGCTTTATAGCCAAATATGTAGCTTTCAAGGAGTACTTTAAAGTGCAAAACTGAGATCGAGAGAGGGAGAGGTTTAGTAAGGAAATTTCAGTTTATGGCTTTGGCAGCTAAAGGTTGAGGACACCAAATGTGGAACAGTTAAAATCGAGAATGCTCAGGAGGTTGAAATTGGAGGGAATGCAGATATCTTGAAGGGCATTTTAAAAAATTCATTCTTGGGGTTGGAGTGGGCACCGCTGGCTCAGTCAGAATTTATGGGCCAGCCCTAATTGCCCTTGAGAGGGCTGGAGGACATTGCAGAGATAGAGAGGAGACTATCAAGAGATTTGAACAGAAGGATGAAAAGTTTAAAATTTAGCAGTGCAAGCACGGGATGTTGGGTGAACAAAACTTGGTAGGAATACACGGGCAGCAGAGTTATGAATGACCTCAGGATTACATCACTGGGTGAATAACCAGTAATTTCTTCCCTTACAGCATTGTGGGACCTTGTGTGGGAAGATAAAGCTGCTAAAGCAGCAGTACATGTTTGGGAGAATGGACAGCGGTAAAAAACTCATTCAGGTACAGGTAATGGAAGGAGCAATAAAACACTAAACAGAGCTCAGATACACCCATTAACAGAGGCAGAGAAAGTTAGACAAGTGCAGAGAGGGGAATGTGAGAGAACAGTGGGGAGTGCATTAGATAGTTCAGTTCACAGGTAACATAGGAACGGATGAGAATTTCAGCAGCAGATGAGCGGAGATTAGGAGGAATCTGATAATGTTACTGAGGTGGAAATGGGCAGTCTTGGTGATGATGAGGATATGTGGTTGAAAAGTCATCTCAGGGGTGAAATATTTAACCATAGTTATGACACGTTTAGTTCAGACTTAGACAGTTGTCAGGGAGAGGGATGGAGTCAGTGGTGAGGCGGTGGAGTTTGTGTTGGGAACTGAAGACAAAGGCCTCAGTTTTCCAATTATTTAATTGAAACAAATTTCTGTTCCACCAGGACTGGATATCAGAAAACTCAGGACAGTGTGCAATCTGAAGGGAACTTGGAGATGATGGTGTTCACATCTACCTGCTACCCTGCTCCTTCTTGGTGGTAGAGGCTGAGTTTTTGGAAGATTCTGTCAAAGTTCTGGTCAAGTGGTAGGTGTCCAAAATCCATCTCCTTCAGTTCCTACCTTCACAGAGAAGCCTGAGCCTTGTGAGAGATTTTCTCACATTCTCTTGTTTTTATTTTGTTTGACATCAATTTCACAGATATTAGAAGGAGATTTGTAAACTAAGTATCACACCATGATCTGATGGAGTTGCCCATTTTATCACAAATGGAATGTAATCAGATTTTGAAAAAGGAAGGAAAATGCCCTGTTCACAGTGGAGAGAAACTGTACATGTGTTGTGTGTGTGGACAAGGCTTCAGCCAGTCATCAGAGCTCAGAAAACCACAAATGCAGTCACACTGGGGAGAAACTGTGGAAATGTGGGGAGTGTGGGGGGGGATGCATCTCCCCAACTGAGCTGGAAACTCATTGATGCAGTCACACCAGTCACAGGCAATTCACCTGCTCTGTTTTTGGGAAGGTATTCAACCAGTCATCTAACCTGATGCAACACCACCTCGCTCACACTAAGGAGAGACCATTTCAATGCTCAGACTGTGGAAAATGCTTTAAAACTTCCAGGGACCTGACATCCCATCAACACTCTCATACAATAAGAGACCTTTTAAATGCTCAGACTGTGGAAAATACTATAAAATTACTGGGGGCATGATGTCCCATAAACATGCTCACATGCAGGAGAGACCTTTTAAATGCCCAAACTGTGGGATGTGGTATAAAATTCCGTGTGAGGTGGGGGAGGGAGAGTGTGCATGTGCATGTGCGTGACGGTGGGGTGGTAGAGTATGCACGTGTGTGCGTGTGGAGGGGTGGGGGGGGAGGGGGTGGGGGGGGGTGGGGGGGGTGGGTGTGTGTGTGTGTGTGTGTGTGTGTGTGAGGGAGGAGGGAGAGTTTGCATGTGCATGTTGAGGGTACGGAGAGTATGCATGTGTGTGCGTGTGGAGGGGTGGGGGAGAGTGTGTGTGTGTGTGTGCGTGCGCGCGCGCACGTGCACATGCATGCATGTAAGAGGGGGAGAGGGAGAGTGTGTGTGTGAGTGTGAGGGGGGAGGGAGATTGTGTGTGTGTGCATGTGAGGGGGAGTGTGTGTGTGTGTGTGTGTGTGTGTGTGTGTGTGTGTGTGTGTGTGTGTGTGTGAGAGGTGGGGGAGGGAGAGTGTGCACGTGCATGTTGGGGGACTGGAGAGTATGCATGTGTGTGTGTGTGCGCATGTGCGTTAGTTGGAGAGGAAGAGTGTGTATGTGTGTGGAGGGGCATAGTGTGTGCGTGTGCGTGTGTACATGTGAGGGAGGAAGGAGACTGTGTGTGTGTGTGTGTGTGTGTGTGCATGTGGGGGGGGGGGGGAGAGAGAGGGAGGGGGGGGGGTGTGTGTGTGAGAGAGTGAGGGGGGGAGAGCGTGTGTGTGAGGGAGAGAGAGAGAGTGAGAGAGTGTGAGGGAGTG